CGGGCTGGAGATTTGAACCCGCCACCTTAGGTGTGTGTGGCTGGCGCCTTAGCCACTTGAGCCACAGGTGCCGAGCCAGTTCTAACTCTTAATTTCATCACTATTCTTTATTATCCTCAACTGCACAGCATCAAGGCTAATGAAAGGGGTGCCCACATATTTCTTTGTTTAAGGGAGAGAATACAAATTTTTCCCTAGTTGCAATTACTTAATCTTTTCTACCTATTTTCATAGATGTGATGAGAAACTAACATTCAACTATTTGGGTTTTTATTGTCACCTCTGCCAGTGAAAGCACATACAGACCCTAGCAAGTTCATGTCTTGTTTTTGTGAAATGAAAAAGGAATTATATATGGCTGAAGATGTGCCAGAATATTTTGTACTCACAGGGTATGTAATGTGTATACACAGACCCACACAGAAGCCAACACACTGTATTAAAGATAAAGCATAGGGCGGCGCCTGTGGCTCAAAGGAGTAAGGCGTGGCCCCATATGCCGGGGGTGGTGGGTTCAAACCCAGCCCCGGCCTAAAACTGCAAAAAACAAAAATAATAAATAAAGATAAAGCATAAAAATATTACCTATATATTACTTAAGTTTCTCTTTCTTAAGGCATAAGGTAGTAATTCCTAACTGAGAAGGATCAGACTCACCAACGTTCCTAACTACCAAGCAAAGCCTGAGCCAAAACCTCTCCCAGAATCAAAAGTGACTTGAGACCATCATCAACCACTCTCATTCCGTAATGAAACTACCTACACTACCTCACAGAAGCCAGGAACGTCTCTCTCACTCCTACAGAAAGAGATGCCAAGCATAGCACTTTCTAGTAAACAGCAACCAACCAAATAAGAATTCGAGACTTGTCCTTATCTCAATCCTTATTTCCAATTAAATAAGGTCCCAACCTGGCTCAGTAACTTGAAGTCTCAGTCTCCTAAATATTTCATAGAATGTTTAGGATTCAATTTTAGCAAGTCAAGTCTCAAATACAAGAAAGTTTCTGTGAAGTCACACTGTAAAATAGGATATTACTTCATCTGTTAGCTTGAAGACACTGGACTTTTTTTGGTCTTCAAAAAAAAAAATTGTTTCCTGTTTTATAGCATCTGGCTTCCATAACCAAAAAGAGCCAAAGGCTGGCAGTAAGCCCAAGAAGGTTTTCTAAATAATTAGTGAAGGTAACAGGAGAATATTGAATGTCCTTTACTTATATTTTTAATTAAGGCACAAAAGAAGAGGAAATAATATACCTTTGAAGTCTTGCACACCTGTTCATCTCTACAAGGATTACAATAAGGATTTTTCATTAAGAGCTTGTCTTTTCTAAATCCTATTGGACTGGCCTGGCTTAGACAGCCACTAAAAATACCATAGATTTCCTACAGGCTTGAAAACTGCAACATATCAATATCTTCGTTTGTTTAATTCTTCCACTAATGAGTCTTTGCAGGTAATAATATTCTATTTTTAATGTAACTTTTACCTTTAAACAGATATTCACTCAGCCCTACTCCTTAGGCAAAAAATAGGCAGTAGGAGCTCAGTGATCTTTTTTTTTTTTTTTTTTTTGAGACAGAGCCTCAAGCTGTCCCCCTGGGTAGAGTGCCGTGGCATTACAGCTCACAGCAACCTCCAACT